CCGTGGTGGCCCGCGCCCCCCTGGCGTACTCCAGCCCCGTTGTCGCCGCCGCCCCCATCGCCTCCGCCTACTCCAGCGGCATCGTGAGGTCCGGCCCCGTCGCCTACTCCTCGCCCCTCATCCTCGGTTAAACGCACCTCTCTAGTCTCGACCAATAAACAGTATTATTTATCTTGAAATATTTCTTGTTTCTTGAAAACACCAACATTCATGTTCCCGAGCCCCACGTCCTAAAAACACTGTCTATGTCACACTGCAGCTATCAAAATAAATAATGCATTTTATTGCATTACGCCCCACCGAATCACACATTATACCAGGTGGCTGATTAACCCCGCGCACTTTTGTAGTTAGATTGTACCGCACGCACGAGTGTGGGCGGGTTGTCTACTCGCCCGGCCCATAAGGCGCCGTGGACGGGGGCGATAGGCAAGCCCGCCCGCACTCGTGCGTGCGGTACAGTCTAACTACAGAAGTGCACGGGGTTAATCAGCCACCTGGTATAATTCACACGTCAGCCTATTTATTATGAGAGCGACGTTGACCCCATTCGCATTCTCCTCACCCTCGATTAAATGCACATTTTTAGCTTGACTGAAAGAAACCACATACTTCATTTTTGTGATATCTCCCAAACTACTCAACATATTTTTAATCGGAGAACAGCGGCGGTAAGCTCCTGATCCTGGCTTGTACTGTCAAGCTGAACACCGCAGCGCCACGGTTCTGGGGTTGGGCCTGGGCCCCGCGCGGCGCGATGGGCGAAATAGCGTCGGTGGTCGGTGGGAAGGGGAAGTAAGAGGACGACTTGAACACGCTCTGGGCGCTAAACCCTTTGAGGTATCGCAAAACGCTTTGCGTGCAAATGCAGCATGAAAGGGGCTACCGTTTTCACGAACCGAGTCAGAAATTCAAGAAGGTCGATTTTATACGTCGATCTGACTCGAACAGCGCTTTGAACAGCGCCTCGAAACGAACATCGCCCCGAATAGCGCCTCGAACAGCGCCTGAAGTTAAAAACTGAATTTGGTAATGATTTTGTGATTGAGCACCGGCCGAATTCAGTGTTTTATCTCGAAAAAACAAAACAAAACGGGTCTTTGTATTTTTTCCATTTAAAAATGTGCCTTTTCAAAGCAGGTAATCAAATGTAACGGTGTGAAAACAAAATATTGTCGAGAATATGTCAAAACCAGTTGACTTGGCCGACCCCCCCCCCCCCTCCTCCCCCTCTGTCCCTCCCAAAATGCGTCACGTGGTTTGGCCGCGACCGTAACGTATCATCCAGAAAGTACGTCGGTTTTTTTTCTTCAGATTAATTTGCCAAATTACGGATGCACAGCGCCTGTGAGGGTTGGGGTAGGCCACCCCGCAGTACGCCCATACACTGCACAACAGGTATTGCCTGCCTGTCAGGCGCTACGAGAGCGTTCACTAGCTGATCTTGCTCTGGTAAAACGAGTGTGCAATCTTTGCACACCAACGTGTGCAAGTTGTGATTTTGCACAATACATGGTGATTAACTCAAGTTGCACACATGCGTGGAGTGCAAATTTTAGACGTTTTGTAAACTATTAATTCTGCACACTCGGACACACACAGTTCTATGCTGTCAAGTCAATATGAAACCATACGGTGTGCAGCTGCTATATGTTTCGGAAGTGTCGAAAGTTTAAACACCAATTAACGTATAACATAGTTAGACACCACAAAGTGTCTAGAAAATGCACACGTCAATTCACGAGCAAAATTAAACACTTGTATAGTGTACCAGTGTGATGGTTTCATTACGGCAAACGGCAAACAACGACTGAAGGTTTTTTTTAACGACCCCTAAACAAACCCACCCCTTTACCGGCACGCGTGCTCATATCGTCCTGCCCCTGCTCGTCCTGACGAATGCATACGTGCGTGCGGATCCCCCCCCCC